GGACATTTTAATTTTTCCTTTTTCTTTTTCTTTTTTATTCATTTATCTTACTTTGGAGACTTTTCTCTTACTGCCGGGTGGAAACAAGGTACGTATGTCTGGTTCCTGACTTGGTGGGAATGGTCTGGGCTGGACTGGATTGGGCCTGGGTGGTTGGTTTGGTTTTTCCCTGGGTTAGGGCTGGATGGTTGTTTAGATTCTTGACGATTTTCATTTTTCCCCTTGGAATTGAATTGAGTTATAAGTGCGGAGTTCCTTAGTGGTCAGTTTGGATGGAACTCCTAGTTATGAACTATTATGAACCTGAACGACTAGTGAGTGTTTGTGAAAGGACTATATCACTATCTATTATTATTATTATTATTATTATTATTATAAATATTGTTCGTAATACTTGTTTTTTTTTTTTTTTAGTACTGATATGGTTTGTATTGAGACCAGAATATTCCTAATCCGGGAATCACCGGTCGATCAGCTCTGGGCGGGTGCTCGGATGCAATTCGATTACCTGCATCAACATCTGATAACACCCCAAAAACCTGGCCACAAAAAATCCCCATCTGCCCTTGACTCAGCTGCATGAATTAATATCGGTAAGAATCCCGTCTCATTCCCCGACAATTTAGGCTATTTGGACTTCGGGCCAATAACGGGGCGCACGTGCTTAGACTCCGGGATTGGATCATCGTGGGCTTATGATAGCTGTCGGTTGATATAAAGAAGCCACCCTTTTTTGCCCCACTATACTGATACTACGTACTACTCCGTACACAGTCGGGGAACGTTTTGGAGTGTTAATATCCCCTTTCCGGATGTATGAGTGCTGGGTATAGGTCTAGTCATTGGCTGTTTGGGATGGTCTGATGCCGAGTAGTTTTGGAGGCTCCTCTGTTTGCGCTGGTAGGTATAGCATACTACCGATGTGTATAGCTGACCTGCAGAGTATATACCTACCAACATAATAGAATGGTCTTAAAAGCACCGGTCCGGGATCGGGTCTTCGATGAATTCACAAACTCATATAGGAATAAAAGGTAGCATGTGCGACAGCTCTGGCTTACGCCGCCCGTACCAAACAATCAATACCTCTCTTGCGCAGATCCCCATCTATATGTCGGATCTCCTTGACATAATATGGCTGCTTGGGTAACTGCAGCTTCCACCCTTGCTTTAGGTTCAGATCCCGCAACGGTTCCAGGAAAACCGGGATCTTCTCCACCGGTTCGCAGAACCAGCTGCCGCTCAGCTGGAGCGTGAAGGACTGAAGACTCTTCATCCGCGTCAGTGCCTTGCAGGTCTCAACCCACTGCTGCCGGCCAGCGGAGAAGTAGACAGTCTTGACGGGGTCCTTGCTAGGTAGCCAGTGGCCCGGGAAGGCCCAGCGAAGTTCAACTTCGCGGATTGCGTCCCAAAGGTCCGGGGGTATAGTCGGACGGAGGTAAGTGAGTGACCAAGTGTTACTGAACTCGAAAGTATTCATGGTGTACAGCATATAGATAGATTCGCAATGGCTAGAGAAATAGTCAATAGGTATATCCCCGTGCGATAAGATATCCTTCAAGCTACTATGGTAGGCAAGAGCTAACTTACATCTGCCTGCAGGTCATCGGAAGCGCCAACAGGTTACCGATCGTTCGAGCTCTCCCCTTTACCGGCTGCGGCGAATCCCCCTGACAGATGTCGCAGGTATCCGTAAGAGGACATACCACGTGGCTCATTCGGCGATCGGGCCGCTGTACAATATGTATACGCATTCCACCCAGAACCATCTCCCAGATCATGAGGCGGAGCTCGGGAGACAACTTCGCCAACAGGTCGCTCTGTACCTGTACAGTTACTTCTGACGCGGGACCTGACTGTTTCTCAGTTTGCGCCCGACCCGAAATTGCGCTGGCTCTTCTGGATCTGGGCAATGCGGTCGGTTTGTTATCTTCACAGGTTAGCATGTAGTCATAGCAGTGTTATGGCACCCGCCTTCCATTTATGGTGGAATCTGAACCCGTTATAAGGCAAAGAGAATGCCTAAGATTTTGAGGAGTATGCATGTACAATGCAAGCTCGGTAGTTGAGCTTGAAGAGGGTTGTATGGGGAGATGAAAAATCACCTACTTTGATACCGCTGAGCCAGCACGTCCTCCCAAGAAAACACTCCTTGTTTGATCCTCGCCATCCCCCTAGATGCTTGTAGAGATATACTTAAATAATTATTGGATGCCAAAGAGTAACGAAAGAGTATATATGATATGGATATCCACCAATGCTGACGACCGCTCACTTGTCCGACGACATTTTAGTAGATCATGGTCTTGACGAACGACATAACCGCCAGAAAGTCAATGGAGTAGTAGCCGAGGGTAAAGTACTAGCATAACGAACAGACAACTGGCCAGTGCGGATCAGATAGTAGAAACGAGGAAATCAATCACGCGAGATGGAACTGTCGGAGTGTATGCGGCTAACGAGTGAGGGGAAATTAGTACCGACAGTAAGCGCGCGATTTAAAGAAACAAAGTCAGATCGGGGGCCGGACACGATATTAATACTATATGGGATCATGGTAGAAATATGATTCATAGCGGAAATGGGACAGACAAATAATACGTAGTAGAAGAGTCGGTGAAGAAGATATGCTTATCATCAGCGGGCAGATTAGATAAATAGTAGATGGAATTCACGTACGTACTAAGACAAGCCTCAGGCCAATCATCTTGCCGCAGTGCTGGGGGCCTGATAGATCAGTCCTTTATTCTTACAGTCAAGGGGGTAATCGATCGATTATCGTAAGGTCTTTATCATCAAAACATGATATGCTTTTCCTATTATGACAACGCATCGATAGTAATGAATGATTACAAGTTTGTTCTCGATCTTCTTTATTCACATCAATGTGCGTCTTTCACCGTATCTTGCCGAGTCTTTTCTTTTATACAAGTGAGTTGGCAAAGCTTGGCTTGGATTGCGGTATAACTGATCTGCGATTCGCTTTGAGAAGCCATGACAACCAAAAGAATATGCGTTGGCAGCTTCAATTTAATGCATAACGAGCGTCCCTTCCAATAAGCTACCCTTCAAGTAAAGAATGACTGGCATGAGCGATGCTCTTGCTATGTACACTCATGTAAATCACCGATGCCTGAGCGGTTTGAGAAACTCCTCGGAAAGTTCAAAAGTGAACGCTCTTCAGTAACAAAATATAATTGTGGAACATGGATTTCCAGACAGAGAAAAGCGTCCCTCAGGGAGTAACACGAGGACCACTAGCTCCCAGGGTGTTTGTGGGACATGGTACCTTCAATCCTTGACTGAGCATTGCAAGGCCGGCTTGTTCGAGCTTGTCAATGGGACTTTCAGCTGGGACGGTCCCGACATATGGGTTGAAATTGTAGATACCACAAATACAAGTATCAACGATATCCTTCAGGCTTGTGTCTTCCATAATGTTCTTACCATCACGTGTAATTGCAAACTTCTGCTGACCGACCCCCATTGGCACCGTGAAGGCGCTGGCACCGGCCTGAGCCTCGAATGACTTGCTGTTTTTTCCAGAGGAAACTGCAACTGTAGCAGGTGACTTGAGCAATGCAACGACGAACACTGCATCTTGCATGGTTTCCCATCCGTTGGGTTTACCTCGGAAGAAATTGCCGCTAGATTTATTAGGACTCTCTTCCATGGTGGTGTCAGTGGAGTCGCAGTCAACATCTCTCGGGGTAGGTCGATACCAGTAGATCAACTTTTCGTCTGTGATATACTTATCGACTGATTTGTCTCCGGCTTTATACGCGGCTATAAAAGGCTTGGACATCTCGAGCCAGCCAGTGTGTGGCCTATGATAGACCGTTAGTCTGCGCTCATACTTTAGATGCCGAGACTACTCACATGTCCATGACCCATTTGGACGCCCCGTCATCTGTATGTGGCGAAGCCAACGGCCCAATATAGTGCTACTCACCATAGTCATTCCAGGTGACAATTTCCACAAAGCGAGGACCGAGGCTCAGGATCTGTTGCCAGCGAACATACCAGAGAAGATCAGAAGGGAAAACCCAGTTCTTGCTATAGGACACTTCACCACCGAAGTGGGTGAAGAACCAACCAGAAGCAGCTGTTGATTGTCAGTCATGACGTTCCGTGAGTAGCTAAGATGCCATCAGTGGGACTTACGCGCAATATATGGCTTCCCCTTCAAAGCATCGACATACGCCTTGTCGCCATCAGCGACAGTAACGTTACGGCCAGGGGACGGAGCCTTGTTCTCGCCGTTATTATCCCACGCCATCCAGTTCAATGCGCCTTGGATTGCATTGAAGTCTCCAACACCCGGGTGGAAATTCGGAGCAAAGAACACATCCGTTCCAGCAGCGGACCGCATGGCAGGGATATCGAGGCCGTCGCCTGCAAAGGATGATGCGAAGACTTTATTGTCCACTATAAGTTGAGCTGGTAGACTTGCATACTGCTTGAGCTTTGCGCCCACGGCGCTGGCCTGCCCGGCGCTGTACCAGTTAAAATCAAACGACAAGAAGACCTTCATGTCATTCTTTGCGGCAGACTCATAGGCCAAGCTAAGCTGAGCATCTGTGTACGGATCTACACCAATATTCAGCGCGAATGCGTCAATGCCCAGGGCTTTCGCACGCTTCATGTCGTCGTCATAGTCGGCAGCGCTTTGGCGGTTGCTGGTGATTCCAATCTGTGATGATTAGACTCGGGGTCTGCGGCTCCACCTGCGGATTCTCTTCTTACTCACCATGAAATGGCAAAACACGAGTTTGTCAGCCGCGATATCATCAGCCATATGCTGTGGCACTGGTGTGGCAGTGACCAATGCCAAGAAGCCTGCGAGGACGAAGGGGAGTATTCCCGGAAGCATGGCTTCTGATGTCTGATGTGTGAATCGCTCTTCCTCAAAGGATAAAGGAGACAAGACAAGTATGATAAAGGGAACAATTGAACGAAAATAGACTGATTTTGATGGGATATACTAAGGCAAGGCAGCTGGACAACGGATCGTACAACGGACAGTAAAGGATCGCAAGAGAAAAGATGAAGATGTAGATAGTTTGATTATCAGTACATACGGTCACTCTTTGGACGTTGTCCTGAATAGTGCAATCCTCTCTTGCCCTGTTGGTTATAGACTTGAAGCATTCCTTTGCAAGGTGGCCTCCCTTTATCTTGACAACAACCTGCCCCCCTGGCTTGAAGCCAGCAAAGGGGCTTCATGGTCAGGCGGTTCGAAATGGAACACAAACAACTGAATATCCATCACATGGTACAAAAGTCGCAGTGAGGTATCAGCGATGTAAGACCTAAACTCGTCAGTGTTCACCATAAGACTTATCCTCGGACTGACACTGGGTGGTGAGGTAGTAACCCATTGGCACACTGGGCCACATCGCTATTGACAGAGTCGTTGTAGGCAAGTTGATGGTTACAGTCAGGCGTGGCTTGAAGCCAAACGAATAAAAGTAAGTCACTTTGCTTCTCAATTCATGCGAAATCGAGCTTCACGTATAATAACGTTGTCGATGCTACGGGTATATCCGAGAGTGCACGGCCCTAGAAGGATGTGTATGTCTACTCTGTAGGACAATCCATAAGCTCTAACGTCGATCATCTCGGATGTAACATTCCAGTCAAGTTATATATTACCCCCTTCAATTGGTTGGTCCAGGATAAAGCTGAGGCGTTCCTTTCCACTCTGTGGTCCACCATAGAATGAGTAGAACGAGCAGCCGGGATGGACACATGACAGCGAGAAGAATTTGACGAACGCACAGACACCTAATAGTGTACATTGGGCATAAGAGTACCAGTCGCGACGTATTGGCTGCATATGTTAATTGATCCTTGATATCAGGTTCCTAATATCGCAGATCGAAATTGCGGGGTAAAAAAAATCCTAGCAAACCAGCCACGCGATGGCATCACCAGACAATCGAGGAGTATGGTAATAACGTCATCTATAAGAAGACCACTCCGGTGCATCACCGTTGCGGCTTTTCGTCGAGTCCTCGGGCTGGTATTGAATGCGACTGGTCATCCCACGTAGGGACGCAATGTTGGCCAACTTCTCGCACAGTTGCAGTGTAACATTCGATGTTTATGCGCTGATCGTCAGGCCATGTGATTCTCGGATTCTTCTGGTTTTAAGTTTATTACCTTTTCCTCCAAAGCCCAATCAAACAATGTGGCTTCTTTCGCCATGTTCACCAGCAGATCCAAGTATCAATAATAGGGCTTGGAGTTAGGTAAGTTAAAGTGGGTAGCCGTTGGTCAGTCGTCGGGAAGAACACATTTCTTCCTTCCTATCAATTCTTAGCGACGGAATGACTCTGCATTCTCTTAGGTAGCGTTCCCGTCACACAGACAGACTATCCAGAGAAAGCAATGGCAAGAAGCGGTGCAATTGGACCAATGATGCCTATATATGACAGGGGAAGTATGGAGAGCACTGGACGAAAGACGTCTAACAACCGACAGTGTCAGTGCTAAGGTATGATGGTGTGAAGAGTGTTACATGCCAACTAAATCGTAATCAATTGCTACCAGCAACCCTAGTCACTTAGTCACAAGGTAACATAGCATAGTCGCGTTCTTCCAAAGCAATATGATAGACATGCTTAATTATACGAGAAGGTAATGAACCCCGAACAGGAGGGAACAAAAAGAAAACGAGAGAGCCAAGCAGGTTATAGCACAGCAAATGCAGAGACGTAACTCACGGAGCTATCATCGACATCAACTGCATCTGAGCTTCTCTCATATCTCACGAAATGGAATCTACCCTTCTTTCCTTCCTCCTGGCTCGTGATTTCCTCAATAGCAGCCATGATAACGCCAATTGGATGACGGCCACAAACCGTATTGCCAGTCGCTTGGATGGTATCCAAGAAATTAGCGGTGAGCCCAGTACTTATGGCTGCCATAGTCGCGATATCAAAGGCCGAGATACTCTCATGGATCGCTGGTTCTCGACTTGAGATGCGATCTCGCCGCTGCAAAGCCTGGCCGGCAGATACGGATTCCATTTTCTCCTCTACACTACTGAGATCATCTCCTGGCTGAGGTAAAGAGTTAGCGGAAAGTGGGAGCTTTGGCCCCGGCTTTGGTGCCTGAGGAACGTAGTACGTGTAACGGAAACGCAGACCCCAGTGGCAGAAGTCCGAACTTATGACAAAAGCGTTGGCGGGGTCCTCCAAATATGGAGCCAGAAGGGCTCCAAAAGCACTCTCAGTAGATGACGAGGTACTTCCAACCATGATCGGTACAAGCGGTGGATATTGGGAGGTGGGTTTATGTGGGAAGTGAAGCTGCAAAAGACGATGGATGTATGGTAAATGGAGTTCTATGCTGTGTTCTTCCTCATCGATAGATCGTGACATAGTTGTGAAACTAACAGTAGATCCGTTAGATTTGACTGCTTTGGTTGAGAGTAGCTTCGCGATAAGGTCCGTGTCAAGTGGAAGAGGCTCGTCGGAAAGCGGGGTATAGTACGAAGTAAGTTCAGGAAGAGCGAGGGTGGAGAGGTAATGGTGGTGAGATGGGCCAAGAATAAAAATTCGTTTGCTATTTCCACTAGAGCTTAGAGCAAATCCAAGTTCGGGTAGGGACGTGGTACGTACGCTTTCGAAAGATCCAGAGCCTTGTATGCATAGGCGGCACAGGGCCCAGAGTATGCATAGCCCGCATGTCTGAAGGATCAGCATACGAATTGAGAGTGTGTGGTGCAGAGAAATTCTCCTGTACATACGGAGCAATTACTATTCGCGCACCAGGCACTGGCAGGGAACCTATGCCCTCGATGCTATTTGGAACTTGGGCGAGCCATCCATCAAGTTGACGGGTTAGAGTGCGTTGGCTATCAGAATACCAGGAACCGGCATGGGAAGCTTCCCGTGACTGCATACTGTATGGCTTTGTATAAAAAAGAGCAGGGCAGGGCAATCAATACAATATGAGGCTGTAGTGACGAAGTTGTCTGCGTAGTAATGACTGACCTTTGTTGCTTGATACTAGTAGTAGGATAGAAGCGGGGAAGCGGGACCTCACTCGTCATTATGTGGAGTGCCTAAGGTTCACCATAACGCCGCGGTATGCCGAGATTGAAGGCGGCATACCGATCTTTCCACTTAGCAGTAAGACTGATTGAAGCATGAACATTGCAAACATAGGTCCATGGTGAAATGTCGAATAAATATCCACTACAGAGAGATACTCGCTATTGATCTGGATTGAGTTCTACACAGCCAAATTAGTAGACTGTATTTCCTCTTCCCTTTTTTTCCCCCCTACCATAGCACAGGTGATTTCAGACTTGTAAAGCTTCAATAGCGGACAGAAGTCACACATGGTGAGAAGTAGCCCAAATTGATAATGATACAGAAGTAGAAAGGAGGAAGTCATGAACTGCACTGCGGTCTGACTTCATTGAAATCGAGGTTAACAAGATAAAAGCGTTCTGCCAATATTAAAGTAATCACGTAGTTAGAAGGCAACATTAAGGTAGAGGAGACCTTGGTTATTACTCTCCCCAATCCCCTATCAACAAGTCACCTCACTGTGATACTATGTACTAAATAGCATAACCTGTTCGGGGGTAGATGGTCATAGCTGGAGAGCAATCCATTTCCACCCAGTGATACCCATTAAGCCGAATATGGAAAAGCGCATAGTTTTTGGACCGTAACGCTACGCCAGGAACGTACGCGACGCGCTTTCAACCAACCACATTAAAGGGTTGAACCCAGCCCTGTTATTAGCTTTCAACTGAATCCATCTTTTGATCGTGCAGTCAGATCTCCCCCCTCGCGTGCTCCTGCAAGGACAATACCTTGTTATTCTCATTAATATAATCAAAATTCAAGCCTTGAATTGACTCAAGTCGGGGTTGTCCGTCAAATATTTGCCTGTCAAACGTTCCACATTAATCAACGGCTTCCAACTTCCAATTTTCAACCCCATTGACATCCTCCCGAACCCGAGACGGCCATCAACCGAAAATGTCGCTCAAGCGCAAGGCTTCATTCTCAGGAATCTATTCTCCCGATGCGGCGCCAGTCATCGCAGGACGGTCATTGATGATGGACGACTCCCCTAAACATCTCAATAGTCGGACACGGAAGCGCTATAGGAATGATCGCCCGGATGATAAAATTGTATATGGTGTGTATTTTGCACCTAGAGCAAGACTTGTGTTGAGCTTTGGCTAACGATGCTAGAAAATACGCTCCGCTGGCTCTTCACTGCCCAGCAGCAGCAAGGACCGATTGCTCATGCGGACGAAACGATAGACGACATGGAGTCAGACTTTCTTCCATCAGAGATTGCCGATCCACGACAACAAACACTGCATAAATTCTTCCAACCCTCCCGTCCGTTATCTTTCCAAACCGGTCCAAACCATATGAAGCAACAAACGGACAATATTTCTCGAACCAATACCGGTTTCTTGAAACGTCACGACCTTGACACTCTTCCAAACGTCACCTTGACCGGTAGTAATTCGGCTAGCCCATCCTCACAAGACACCACGGCTGATACGGAGGCGCGTATGGACTCCGGAAGCAATGAGTCTGTCCAAAACTCTAACAGATGGAATGGAGGATCGGGTTGGCTGTGATATGACATCTGATTGCCAAATGCCCCATGCGAGATTCCTTCATACTACTTTATACCCACTGACGATTGATTCTTTCCCATGATACGCGTTCCCCGAAAAACCAACGATTGCTGGTCATAGTTGGAGTTATTTCCATATATATTCGTGATCGATATCGATGTTTTAAGCCATTCTGCAAGGTTAATACAATATATCTATAGGCATCCTGCGTCGAACTGACGTGGTTAATTGAATGCTTGGGGGGGGGTCTAATATAAACAAAATTGCATTTCCTCGGCTAGTTGTATCTCACTGGCATGATTCATTTCCTTTACTCAAAGCAAAATCCATGAGAAGCATATACATCCTAGTCATCAAGGATGAACAAAGCCCATATCACACTTTTCTGGCGTTCAGGAAGTGCTACATAATTTCACAGGGTACCTTGATTTACTTTCATTTTGAGGATGAACAAGGAGAGTCAGAGAAATCACTAACTTGAGTAGTGCATAGAATAAGTGCGGGCCGATGAGGTTTGAATTTTGTTTATATTATGGGTTGAAGGTCACTTGCTCTGTTGGTGTTCCGTATTAAGTGTTTCCTAGTATGTCACATGCGTAATCGTAATTGCGGGGAGCCTTTGCTACTCTCGCGTGCGCGGGCGGCTCTCCAAACTCAACACTGGACCTACTGTCCGACAGGCCGCTTGGCCCCAGAACTCGTACAACCAACTGATTCATTAGCGTTGCTAGAGATCATCATTCTTTTTGCCTAGCACTGGTGCCCCGCCTGTTACCTCTTAGTTGTCTTCAACAACACTGCGAAGAACAGCCCAGACCGGGCGGCGGCCTTTCTTTAGTGGCCGATCTTACTTTCTTACAGGTTGGTTAAATCGAAAAGGGCACCATGGATGAGAACCAAGCCGTCCAGTATTTGGAATCCTTGATTGGCCAAACATTACGAGTCCACGCGACAGACACGCGCATTTTCGTGGGCGCTTTCAAGTGTACAGATTCAGTAAGTGATCCCGTGCAAACCATTATCTGATTATCGATCGGACGAAAAGAAAAACGGAAAAAGAAAGTAAGGAATACGAAGACCAGGATGGTTGCTGACTGCGGAACGTATCTAGGCGCGAAATATTATCCTCGCGAGCACGTACGAATATCGCTTCCCTGGCCCATCGGCAGTTCGAGATGCTGCCACTGACGCAGAGAATCAAGACCCCGCGATTGGCGCAGCATCCCAGAATGTCCAAGTGAATATGACAAGTCGATTTATTGGTCTTGTGGTCGTCCCCGGCCAGCATATCACGAAGATCGAGTTGGAGGAGACCCCTCAGCAAAGTCGCGTGCGGGAAACGCTCAAAAAATCATAGAAGGCAACTCTCCACTACAGGCCGTTGATTCCATATGCATGTTGGACTAGACCCTAAGCTCAAGCCTCCCTTCAGTTCCGATTCGGCCGGCATGGCACATTAATATCGAATAATAATGAAGGAAAACACCTGGAAAACAAGCGGTCAACTGCGCTACTAATGCAAGTCTGGCAACATCGGCCTGCGAATCCTACTTGACAATTTTGGCTGGGAAATTTTTTCCCTTTACCGCGCCCTTATATCGCCAAAGGCTGAACTTAAGATATACGACCTAACACCCTCCACAACCTGGCTAGGAGAAAAAGGAGAAATATTCTTGGTGCTTGGCGCAGTCTGTGGGCTTGGCAGCGGTGGTCACTGTAGTGTTTGTGGTGAGCGGTGTTTGGGTATTGAAGTGGCGGTGTTCCTGCAGTCGGTGGGGTCCAGAGCCCTAGTACTGCAAAGACTTGGTTGTTTTCTTCCGTTGATTGCTCAAAGGCTATCTCGCAGAGCTCCTTGGTAGATACACTAGGGCTGCGATCCAAAAAAAAAAAAAAAAAAAAAAGGCCCCTATTGATAAAGGGTGCATTATCATGATGGTACACCAGATATATCTAGAAACTTGCAGTCTTTATCTTTCTGATCAGTCAAATTGATTATCAAGGCTAACAATGCGAGAAAGTCGGGTAACTGCGGAAGATGCACGAGGCTGGCCATCACTATGATTCTGTAATCCACTGATTCGTTCTAGTCTGCAGACAGAAACAAAAATTCCATGGATGCGGTCAGGTTAAAGGCCCTATAATGCTTGAAAGCGGAGCCGGAGCCGGAGCCAAGAGGCATGAGGAGGGGGAATGAACATGCGAACGGAGTGTCTGTGCTAAGATGTGTCAAATTCCTTTCCCACTTGCAAGAGTCACGAGCGTTGGCCGAGGCTCATTCATAGGCTGAGGGGGAGGCAATACTAAATTAGTGATTGAAAGTTGAATGGGGAGATAATGTTTATTTTCTGTTTTAGCTCTCTCTCTCTCTCTCTCTCTTTCTCCCTTTTCCAACCTGTATTTGATTTGATTTGAATTTCTTTTCTTTTCTTGTCTTTCTTTTTCTTTTTATTTTTTTTTCCTTTTTCTTTTCTTTTCTTTTTTTTTTTTGAATTCGCCTAACTTATTATTGCCATTCTCCATGCATAAAAAGGTGGATATAAATTCTTCATGACGACGGTGAGTTATTTTAGTAGCTCCACCGATATCCACTGCTAGGCACCAATCCCATCTTCAGGCCACGAAGGCAAACAGCTGAGCTCCCTCGGGCCGGCAGATGATCCGGACATGCCACACCCGTTGCTGCAGGATCGAGACCAAAAGCGACAGCCTGGGGTTTGAGGCGAGAACCCGATCAAAAAGTTAGCCTGCGTTCTGCAACCTCACACCTGCTTCGCTTCAACAACAACCCCGTTGAACGGTTTTCTTGCTCTTGTCTTTGATTTTCCTCCCCCCCCCCTTCTCTCTTGCAGATCGTTACTATCACTTACAATAGTCACATCTAGGTAAGTTAATAACGGTTTTGTCATGGGTGCAATCAATCCATTAATCGTTCTCCATTCTATTGCCCACCCCCCATAATGACGCATTCTTTTTCCTCTCACACCCTATCATTCTTCCCCCTCCCCTCCACCAACTTAACCCAAATCTCTCCCATTCAGACTCCCTTCCACCTGCCTCCACATACCACTCCCGATCTTCAGTTTCACCTGTGCGCACCACACCCACTGTCGGTCCCATGTGCTGCACGATATCAACATCGCTAACCGTCGCATCGCAGAAGCTTACTTCGGGCGAATCGGAACTTTCCCTTCCGGCTAACTAGCTCGCCGGTGGCTTGTGTACTGATACCGTCCCTCTCCCCTCCGTCAGTTCCCCATCATCACCTCGCCAAATCCTCAACCGCTTGTCCTACCTTCGGCCTCACCGCTGGAATCGGCTACCGCGGCTATACCCTTCCAGCAGTAACCTACATTGAACCTGACCCTGCTGCCCCGGTAGTCCCTTCTATCCCTCTTGACGAACATAACTCCCTCTCCTGGTTTCCAAACGGCAGTTCTCGTCCTCCCTTTATATAGTTTTCGCAAGCCGTTGGAACTATACAATAGCCAAGACGGCTGCCAGCATTCCAACGCCAAGCAGAGCCTTGGTTCATTTATCTTTTGACGTATACTGTTCGTCAATTGTCCACCTCTGAGCTTGGCAGACATCCGGTCCTGCAGTAATGGGTCAGTCGCATTCCAAGGGCAATTCTGGCCCTGGCGACTCTTTGCAGTCCTACCCATCCTTCTCGCGCTCCGACACGAAGGAGTCGCTTCGGTCTCTTCGTGGCTCGATTCGGTCTAAGATCCGTAGCAGTGATAGCCCTCGTGCATCCACTTCAGCTCTGTCCACGGGAAGCCAAACGGATAGGTCCGATGCCGGGTCGATCAAGTCGACGGGGAGTAGGAGAAGCTCCACCAATCTGAGTGCCCAATCTCCTGGTGCCAATGACTCTGCTTCGCAACTCGATGCCCCTGATCCACCTCCCTCTCCCACCTTGTCGAGCAGCCTGAAACGAGGCCATAAGGATGTAGATGCGATGCAGCAAAGCGGCGAAGTTGATCACGTGTCAGATGCGCCTCCCACCGGTGCTGCACCAACGGGGTCTTCACAGAAAGTCGGCGAATCTATTCTTATCAAGCGGCAGGATCAGATGAACCCAATCCTGGACTTTATCATGAACACACCTCTAAATGATACATCCTCATCTCCAGGAATGGGAATGGGCGCTCTTAAATCTATCGACCTAGATGACATGATCACACGTCTGCTGGATGCTGGTTATTCAACTAAGGTCACCAAGACTGTCTGTCTTAAGAATGCAGAGATTACCGCCATCTGTACTGCGGCTCGGGAGCTATTCCTCAGTCAGCCTGCACTCTTAGAGTTGTCGGCTCCTGTAAAGATTGTGGGCGACGTTCACGGTCAATATACCGACCTAATCAGATTGTTCGAAATGTGTGGATTTCCCCCTTCTTCGAACTACCTCTTTCTGGGTGACTATGTGGATCGGGGCAAGCAAAGCTTGGAGACAATTCTCCTTCTGTTGTGCTATAAACTCAAGTATCCGGAGAACTTTTTCCTTCTGCGAGGCAATCATGAATGTGCCAACGTTACCCGTGTATACGGGTTCTATGATGAATGTAAGCGGCGTTGCAACATCAAGATTTGGAAGACCTTCATCGATACGTTCAACTGCTTGCCGATCGCTTCTATCGTAGCTGGCAAAATCTTCTGTGTCCATGGTGGACTTTCACCCAGTCTCTCCCATATGGACGATATCAGGGGAATCGCACGTCCGACTGATGTTCCAGACTACGGGTTGCTTAACGACCTTCTCTGGAGTGATCCGGCCGACATGGAGGAGGATTGGGAGCCTAATGAGCGTGGCGTAAGTTACTGCTTCGGTAAGAAAGTGATCATGAATTTTTTGCAGCGGCATGACTTCGACTTGGTTTGTCGAGCCCACATGGTAGTTGAGGACGGTTATGAGTTCTACCAGGATCGCATTCTAGTCACAGTCTTTTCTGCCCCTAACGTGAGTAATTCCCTAGCCGCTCCTATTGCCTTGTGTAAGCTTGAAGTGAACAACTGGCATTTGCTAACAGCCTTTGCAGTACTGTGGAGAGTTTGACAACTGGGGAGCGATTATGTCAGTCTCGGACGAACTCCTCTGCAGTTTCGAGTTGTTGAAACCGTTAGACTCTACCGCACTGAAGAACCATATCAAGAAGGGACGGAATAAGCGAAACAGCATGCTCAACAGTCCTGTAAGTTCTCCCTTGCTTGGTTCCCTTTTCGCCAAGGAAAACCACTTCTGCGCTGTGCAACAACGCCGAGAGCTTTGTGTTTTAAAGCTCCTCTCTTTGGATGTGTTTTCGGTTCACTTGCTAATTGCCGCAGCCTGCAATTGTATCGGCCCAAAGTTATTAGACGTCCTGGTGATTCCTTGCCAAGAAGTCGGCATCCACCATATGTCACCACCGAAACGATCTGGGCCTGGGCTCAATTGACGTCAAGCTCGCCGTTTTAGTCACAGCGTAGTCCGTCTGAATTGATTGGGCAAACGCATCATGAAAATCGGTCCTGCGCCGGACTCCCCGTCAATGTGTGCATCCCTCGGGTGCTAGCTTTTCTGGGGCTCCTTATTTGCAACGCAGCGATGCCGGCTCCCAACCAAACGCCGTTTTGTTTGCGATTGGCAAGCATGGCGGATCAGGACCCGTCCATCATTACCAGGGCCTTTGGTGCGATATGCCCGCTCCGTGGGATGGATACTCATCCAAATTGACTTCATCGCAAGTCCTACACCGATTTAGCGAGCTATGCTCTGACTTCGCTCTGTATACGGTCCCGGCTATTTTTTACGCATATAATGAATAGACAAGGTGTGCGGGGAAACTAATTTCCTGTCACCTGTGAAAACCCATTTGAGAGTTAAAGGCGATCGGAGTCTGTATTTTGACCAACTTTTCTATTCGATAGTTCTATGTCGAAGAGACATAGTTTGACGGATCATGATATCTTTTGGTTTCCCTCTTATCTTCTCTCGCTTTGTTACATATTCATATGATGCTGGCTCCCATTATCATTGCTTCTATCCATATTGCTTCGGACATGGTATGATCCATATAGCTCATTTAGATTTTTCCTCGAAGGACTATTGTTATTTAAAGGCTTTTGTACACATCCAACTACCCATGCACATGTCCTTACAAAGAAGTACTGAGTTCAACTGTAACAGAATTTCATTAAATAGTAATATTTGTGTGAACATATTGTAGGGTATGAAAGTTGAGCTACTAAGGCTTGTTAATCACCCTGGGGTTTGCTTCTTTCCCAAAATTCGCGCCTGTATCTCTTCTTCTAAGCGAGTGTCTTGCGAAATGTTACCTTCACTCAAGTCCTCAGAAATGGGTCCAATACTGCTCATAGCAAACTGAGAATCCTAGATCCAACCCATATCAGTAACAAGAATTGTAGACGTAATGCATACCCGGAAATATATTTTAAGTGCACGTAATCGGACACAGAACAAGCCCCAATAAAGGAAAGGGTGATGCTTACATACATGAAATACATACCCGTCAAGGTAGTACCGGGTAGTATTTCTGATTTCTTGGACTTTTGAGGAGGAAAGCCTCCGGCGGGGAGTTTCAAGGCTGGAATAGCACTTGGTTGGAAGATGAAGGGCTTCGGCTTTGTGTTTGTCGTTATCTAGAATGCACTGTTAGTCAATTTTTTTTTTGTATCTGTTTGCAGCTTGACTGCTGTTGGGAAAGATCTTCATGTGTTGGTTGTATATGATGTCACTCGATTTTGATGTGCACGTGCTGGTAGTTGGAATCGTGGGTTTGTTTACCTTCAACGATGTTATTCTTATTCTGTACGACCAGTAGCCAGCAGACGTTCGGAAGAAATCACCGTCCGATTGGAGACTTGTTAACCGCTCACCTCCTGGTCCATCAATTAGGAAGGGGATCTTGACGGAGTCGTCCCCGCTAGCTGTTGAGGGGCAAGCTTGAAGTTGCTTTACGGGGGAATGATCTGTGTAGAAGAAGTCTATCCCCACAATTACTGCATTGGACACTGTAACTGAAATGCGGGTTAGGTATTTAAGGAGGTTGCCCCGTCTTCCGCCAAACATGACATACACAAGTGGGCGGTATTCATGGAGAGATATGTTTCGTCCAGCGAAGATGTCATCTTGGAGATGGTAGGATAAAGGAGGGATCTCCGGATACCAAAGCCCTGTAGTTCGCAGGGGGAGATGTTCACCTCCGGTATCATCTGGGAAGAGAGGCTGAAGGTCTGTGGGAACAGCTAAAGATACCATTTTGAAACCCTTGATCATGTCTGTCAGTGGTGTTTATCATTTTAAAGAGAAAAAGATTGAGCTCACATCGAAGGAACCTCTCAAAGCGTGGATTGCTCTCTTGGTACATAGGCGAGCTGTCTGCGGCAAGCCTTCTGACGTGCCTACCCAGTTGGATATCTCTCCTTGTCCGGTTACAACACGGAGTGCCATGACACCTCTAGGGCCGATGGCGGCGATGAACCCATTCAAGTTGAAGCATTCGCTGCTTAACTCTATGTGTTTCTCCTTAGGTGGAAGGACATAGCCCAACACAAGCTGTTCTTTGTTTGTAAGTACGAATCGAAGACCTGAGACATATTTCTTATCACTTAGTTCCCGAAAGGAAACCCCGATTGATCTTATCGAAGAGGTGATTGAGATGGTTTGCTCATATATCACCCTACATTTCATTTGGTAAGGTGAGTTTCCGTTAGATCGTACGGAAAAGTCTCCTCCAACTGGTCTCCACGTTGTTACAGGCTCCTTTGGCCATAGTTCAAGCTCCCTGCTCATCCCTTCACTGCTCAACGGTTGGTCAAGAACTAGATCTGCCATGTTCTTCAAGTAACCCCAGATCCGCTTTCGATTCTTTAACTCATTGGATGAGTCTGATGTCACTGCCGTTTCTTCGTAGACAGCCCTCCAATCTCTACTGCGCAGTGCATGAGCCCCATTATATAGTAGATCCCTAGCCTCGAAGCAATATCCACGCTCTTGATGACAAGCAAACCTTGAAGCCCAGAATGACTGCGTGAGTGGTAAGCTGGCAAATGACCTTGATGCCAAACGAACATTGGCAACACCGCGAGAGGGTAGAAACATCTGGATTTGCTCCAGTATCTCTTGAGGAAGCTTTTGAAAGCAGTCAGCGGTGGTTACCCATACTGAGGATATTGAACTGGTCATTGTCGTATTCTCTCGCCTATCCTGAGAGTCAACAAGCGCTTGTCGCACCTCTAATACGTCTGACGGATCTGACGTGGCTAACGTCAAGGGAGAACTCTTGTCCCATAAGAATCGTTTTATATAGCCCGCAATATATACGTCTTCCCACGGATAACCCTCAATGGGATGTCGATCCATGAGCCCACCATAGCTATGGCCCCAATCTAACCATCCTTCTATGTGTGCTGGACATGAGAGGCAAATATCGTACAAACGTTGGATAGGAACGGCGTGGGGATGAAGCATGCCTCGTAGTAATTCCCAGCACGACTCATGAAGGAGGAACCCAGGTTGCGGGTGGAGTCGGTCACCTATCAGCGGAGGAAATGTGTCCTCCTCTGACAAAATAAAGTCATTATCAACCCATCGCTGTTCTGCAGAAGAAGGTGCAGCACAGTTATGAAGGATCTCTGGAGGGACATAGCTGCCCACTCCTGTAATGAAAGGCTTCCCATCTAACTGAGAATTACCATCACATCGAACTATATAAATGTCAGTTCATAAGTACTAACCGATAAATCCACTGCATCGAGGATAGAAAGACAGCTCAGCACAGACTTGCACGAAAGTTTCTTTTCCAAGAGACTGTGAGATGACGATATGGAATCTTTGCACCACAGATGATACAGTGCGGGCTGCTATTTATCATGGTTTTCAGACTGGGGACCCTCAACGCCTGCGAGGCGAACTTAGGAACCAAGGTAATTCCTCAAGGAATCCGATCCCACAGCGAGGGGACTTAAAAAAATTAAATAGAGGTATAGTGTACCACTCTAAACCCAGAATGACTGCAAGGGGTGAGATCTTTGGGAAGGAAGGGCATAAGCGATGTATATATGGTGATACAATACGAGGCATCAGCGTTTAACAATGCAAACGAATACTATTCCTGCAAATCTTAGAGGGTAGGTATGACGTGGCCGAATAAGACGCTGACGAAGCAGCAGCAGCAGTAGTAGTAGAAGAAGAAGATCCGAGATGGATGGACAAAGAGGAGAGAGAATTACAAGATGGTTGACTGATGCCAAGTCACCTGCCAGCCGCGCGGCGCCTGAGGCGAACGTCAACATCCTCGTTGTCTACACGCCGATCAAGTTATAGGCCAGGCATCGCCGTTGTATGAATAACTTTTGTATGTATGAGTCTCTAAAATAGCACATCCTGCTAGCCGAAGAAGTAGACATGGATATTCCTGTACAAAAGCGCCAGACATCGGGGCCCTATCAATTGGGAAGGGATCTCAGCAGACAAGTGTTCAAAGGCGAGAAAAGAAAAACGAAGAAGGATGAATCGCTTGCCACATCGACCCGCACATGATACTCCATCTTCAGTTGGGTCTAATGCACTGTACCTAAAGGTGACTTCATCACTCATAGTCCCTAACATAGCGACCAGGAAGCTCAACGTCCCACATGGGCCGCTCCACAACTGCAACCTCTAAGTTACCGCCATTTTCATGTTCCTGTTCCTGCGATTCTTCATCCGTTGCCTGAGGATGTAAAGGTACAATTCCGAGAACATCACGGTATTTGTATGTGTGCCACCAGCGACGTGCCGAATGTGAGTTATCCACGACCTGCACCAACTGTTTCTGAGAGGGTGTGTCGCCATTGACAGCTGTCTTGTTAAGCTGCTTCCTGGGGGTGCTGACGTCGTTTCCTTCGAGATTTCCTCGTCTTAGGCGAGCCATGTTAGAATCATGGCGGGCTGTATAAGCTTCATCATGATCGTATGCTTCATCATCTTCATCTGCCCCACGAGGACGCTCCTTCTCGACAGAGATCAATTCGGCCTTCGACTCGTCGTTTCCTACGATTTTGCGGATTTTGGAACCAAAGAAAACGTCAGACTGTGCTAATGAAATCTTGTCACCGGCACCAGTATTCGACTTCTTTCTGTCGTTCTCCTCATCATCCAAAAGCCCACGCTTGCGCTTTTGGGATGAAGACTTCTTAGCAACCTGCATCGAATCCTGTCCATCATCATGAGTATCTGCAGAAGCACTCAGTTCTTCCGGAGACGGAAAGTCCTGGTTCAAGTCAAACATCCACAGCCAAGAGGTACCATAGAGCCAGAGACGTTCACGGGCCTCGTTCAAGTCCCAAACACAGCCCATCGCGCGATCTTTTACACCTCTAAACTCTGCGGGTAAGAAAGCCTTGGGGTTTCTCCTTGACCAATCCGACAGCTTTCCGTCAAGGGCATCAACTTCCACCAGTTGGTGCTCACTTGTAAGAGCCATCAACCGGCTTTCAACCTTAGAGTCCTGGCCAGTACCGTCGGCCAATAACTTCTTGCCGGCCTGGTTCAGAGGGCGGAAGGACAACAGTAGTACGCCAGACTTGAGACGAGGAATTGGCGATTCAGCGGCTGTGAGAGTCCAACGCTCGCCGTCAACCACTGGCTGTTCATCCTCATCTTCAGAATCTTCATCGGAGTCTTCGGCAGCATTGGCTTTCGTCAAGGTCTTTGATTCAGCTTTCTCCAGCGACCAGGCATCCACACACCCAGAGAGATCTCCGACTGCAAAGATCTTGCTGTTTTCGGAGAACACGGCGCATCGGATGGTCTTTTCGTACTCACCCAGGGTACCATGGGAAGCCTTCTCATAGCGAGCATGACGGGCAGCTCTGTTAAGTTTGACGAGTTGAGTTAGGACCTGGGGTTTCTCCTGAGGCGACGAAGCAGGCTTGATCCTGGCTAAATAGGTAGCACTGTTTGGACGAACGACACAGATCCACCGACTATCGGGGGAAACGGTAACAACTCGAGCTCCATCATTAGCGAGTGTAGACGGTATATCAAGTTTTTGTATGCGGAGGGTTCCTTTCTCATCGCCTTTGCGCCGCCGAACAGAAAATACCTTGACGCTGGATATTGTAGCAACAACTAGGATCTTTCCGTCGGAAGATAGCATAGCTGAGGTGATATTCTCTTCGCCCTATCATGCGAACAGTCCATCAGCAATCAACTTCATGAGCGCCGATACTGGGTGACCTTCACATACCTGGATCAGGACCTTTCCAACTAATCTGTGCCTTTGCCCATCGAGGTTTTCTTGCAAAGAAGTGGGACCGCGGAACAGGCGCCAAATGCTAATCTCTCTATCCCAAAAGCTCATGACCAGTCGAGATGAAGGCGAAGACGCAAGCTGTGGTATTTGAGGCAGACTCGATAGCTTTCTGTGGTGCTCTTTTCCGAACTCACGCAAAGGTAAAACAACCGGTGTGGCGTCAGGTCCTGGTTGTTGTCAGCCAACTTTGCCAACGCTTGGAAGATGAGATCAAGTCCTACCTCCAGAAACAACAACACTGATGTCCTTCGTCTCATAGACAGCAAAGGTCTTCACATCGTGGGTATGGTACCGCCGGTGCATCACCTCAACCCACCGGCCTTTCTTATCGCCCTTCTCTCCAACCTTCTTTCTGTAGACAACTGTTCTTTGGTCCGCACCCCCGCTAATAACTGTATCTCCATTGGCACTCACAGCAACATCTAAAGTATCAGCCAAGTGGCAATGGAGTCGTTGGATAAGCGAGTAATTCTTGCCGTCCCAGAAACGAACTTCACCAGCAGAGTCGCCAGAAACAATAGTGCCGTCAGGAAGGCACTTCACAGACCAGACCAGCAATTCCTTCGTACCGCCCGTCGGTCCCTTGCCCAAAGAAATTGTTCGTAGGAGTTGACCATTCCGAATATCAAACAGACGGATTGAGCTGTCTGCATAGCCGGCCACAATAGTGTTACGATCTTGGAAGGTGACGCTAAGCACCCTGGCTCTCTTTGTAGAAGGTCGCATAAGACGAAGGAACCTAACATCAGTGTCGGCCGTAGACAGTATCACGATAGATCCATCCGCGCATCCCGCGGCGAGGTGTTGTCCGGTGTATTCTCCTTCCGCTGGAGGCAGCCACTTGCCATCCTTTCCCCGTTTCGTAGGCTGCCATCTTGGCTGAGCCGCTATGCACCAGATCTCGCCATAATTTCCGCTTGAGTGACGCAGGGGACGCCCCTGTTCAATATCCCATTCAGTCACCGCAGTCGAGTATCCAATACTGAACAAGCGCAGTCGTCCGGGTATCTTTGAACCATCGGGGAGAGTCTCAGATGGATCGAGTGTCCAGGTAAGTCCTTCTATGCTTCTATCCTTTCCTCCACGGAGAACTGTCTCCTGAAACCATGCGCCGCGCAATGGATTCCATATTTCAATATCGCCATTTGCGCGACCAACTGCAAGTCGGAGGGTAGGGACACCACGTCCCGCAAGTTCTGCAGACGGAGGGTGGGAGAACGCGAGCGCATTGATCGCTTGAGGGTTATAAGGAACGAAGCGACAGCGGTGAATATCCATTATGATTAATGGCGTAATGCGGTAAAATCGAGTTTAATAGTTGACGAAGCTTCTTGCTTGAATAGAATGAAAGGGAAAAAAAATTGAAGTAGATCCTCGTTGGAGAGCAGAAAAAGACCTACCCCGGCTCTCAACCTGTAGAGCCAAACGCTATACAATCATTCCGTTGTTGGTAAAGAAAAGGTCAAAGATGTTTCAAATATGTCACTGTTGTGGTGGTGGCCTCGATCACTCTCTCTTTTTCTTTTTCTTTTTTTTTTTTTGGATACAATTTTTAGCGCCGCGGAGGTTCCACCAAACGTGTTTGTATCACGTGATTCTCAGGTTGGTTGCTTGTAGAGCATCAAAGAAAACTTAGGCAAGGCACAAGACCGCTCTCTTTACTTAATTTCTCGCTATTCTTCTCTAGGAACTGAGATCGCAAATATTACAAAAGCATCATTCCAGCACCTTTGCGACTAGGAGAGCAAATCGATGTACGATCATGAAGCTTACATAGTATGTACTGTACTAATATACTAGTATTTGGCATCTCTTTCAGTTCCTTACAATAATTCTGAACGTGACAAGATAATATCCAACAGAAGAGGAGCGAGTACATGTCATTAACACGGAAAAAGAAAATATCAAAATGATCCATCCCATGATTTAGAGACCAGTCTGCACTCCGGCGAATGCTACAATTAGGCACCGCACCAAGGAGCTTCCAAAGAGTCAATGCTCGAGGACGAGTATGCAAATATTCTTTGTTTCAGCTGACTGAAGGAAGCACTGAGGCAACTTGCGTCCAGCATTATGGGACACCAAATATCAAGGGTACTCCTCTTGGCGAACTCCCAATATGTAGTATGGCCAACTCCCTGGTACAGTTTCAGAATATAACGCCAAGCAGTGTTGACAGGGAAAATAGGCATTGCAGAGCCTATTATTGTTACTCGAATGCTTGTGGTACACTTTCGTGGTGTGTCAAAGCACCATACGACTAGGTTCTTGAAGCACGCCGGTAGTCAAGGGATGCATGTCCCCTATCATTTGAAGCACATAAGCCGCGTAACGCAAAGTGCTGTATGTAAGCAACATACGCATGCAAAACAGTAGGTGCTTCTTAATTCCAAATTACCGTGGTGCAAGCCGGTTCAAGGGAGCGTATCAGCAAAAGTAAATCTTGTCGCATTTCACCTAAAAGTTATCAGTAATAAACAGCCGCACGTCCATCGTATTTGATAGGCCCATATAGGTCCGTTTAATATAGAGGGACTGCCACGTCAGAGAAGCCCCGGTTATAGTTCCGGCATTGCATGTCACCAGCAGATGGCTAGTGATTCAGTCTCCGTCATTCGAATGATGTGATAGGGCACAATGATCCAAGATTTGCCGGGGTGCCACACCACAAAAAGAGTCAATTTCACGGAGTTTAAGCAGTGGAGACTCCAAGGAACTGGGCTTCAATTGTCTTCTGGTCAAAAAGAGGGGGTACATCTGTATGACTAGGCAACCTTATCCTCGTAGACATCAAGGACGAGTGTTCAGAAACAAGAGATTGTTAGCGAGTGGGGAAGGGTTTCTCTGAATTTCTCCGATAGATTCACCAGGCTCAGCTGAATGGGGTGGCCCCAAGATGGGCGATATGCAGTTTAATTCGATCTCGCGCTGTCCGCCTGCGGGGGTGTTGTTTGATAGGCACGATCCATGCTGAGAACGGGAATCAACCTGAGCCGCACACATTCAGACGACGCCGCTTTCAAACCGGTCGAAGACAATCCCCGGGAGATAAGCATTCATTATTCAGATCTTCGGTTGATTCGCCATGATTGCTCAAAATAGTTCAATAAAACCAATTCCGCTTAAATCCTGGCTATTCTATTTCCGACCCCCAAGATGATGAGATCCATGGCTCAATGAAACTATGCGACACCCATTTTGAATGTAAATATGAGGGCATACTCAATTGCAGATGTGTTTCTGATAAGTTATGACGGAGCTCTTTCTTTACCTTCTTTTCCCTGGTGGCGTCTACTACGCGACCATCGTCTCATGGTTGATGACCAGATTCCAGCGTGCGTTCATGGCGCAGTACTTATGCGCGAGTTCTACTAAATGAGATCAAAGTCGCGACCAGGATTGACTGTGCAGCAGTGGGTGTGTTGTGTTTACGTTTAACTGACGATTTCTCGCGGTCATTGCATACTGCGTGGTGGCATAGGTTCATTATGCAACACATTTCGGAAACTGGCCGTCGCTGGTCCCTCGTTTATTAGTACTGAACAGTCCCCAAGTAGTGCGACTGCTTTGTTTATACGCTAATCAAGGTCAATTGACTAGACGATGCAGCATGGTATCAATGGCAATCGGCAAGAGACTAATGTCGAACGCCTCTAATTATGGGAATGGGCACTAGGTATTCGACAACAGAAGGCAGTAGCCGTATGCCTTCAACTGATAGGGATTCCGAATATGGTCAAAGACCTAATCCCATGGTAGGGCGTAGGAGCGTAAGACGGTCGGATCCAGGCTTCCGTTAATCAATTAGAACAACGCATGTGAGTACTGTGTGCAGCTATCAGGATTATCTTTAGTAATAATGGGTTATGATGTATGATTCGATTCAGGAGGTGGCTGATGTATTGGTCCAGGCGTGTCAGCCGAAATTAGCAGTCTTATATGCTGCGTGGCACATATCCAATTGCAGGCGAGGCCCATATATTATTTCCGGGGACTTTGCAAGGAATCCAACATGTGGACAAGAAAAGTGGGAAAACCAGCCATTAGCTTGATGAACTATCGCCGGACCAATCAATCCCGGGTCCCATCCCAGTTGTAAAGGCACGAACGGACGCGGGAAGTAAACTTCTAGACCAGGATTACTGGAGAACATCAAGGAGGGTAAAGCACACGCCGGTTTGGCAACAAGCGCGCTGGTTTTGCTCAGGCGATCATCGAATCAGCGCGCATAAAGGGCCTCTGGAGTCCACGCCAAGCATCGCGGCCAGATTACGCTTTATGTCATTCTGACCCCCTTAACTTCGGGGGAGAATGGACCCGCGACACTGCTCAAGGACTTGGACAAATGGTAGGTATGGAAACGCGGCTTGTCCGACGATAAATCAGTAGTGTCCGTGTGTCTGTTAGATCCGGCCAAATGGTGTGGTGAAGGGCGAAAGTCCGACGCCTTTTGAGGAAAGCGTCAGATGTAAAGAAAGGAGACGTTCTGGCGTCAACCATTGAAATGAAGAGATTACCTAGAATAGAAATGACTTGGAACCTAATTTCTCATCGATGATCGTGGCTCATAATTCCAAGCCGGGGCAGCCGAAACGTGGGACGCGAGTCAATCAATGACGCCATGGAACTGTCGAGAGAGAGAAAAACGAACAGAACGCGCAGTATTTGTGCCTCGCACGCGACTCTTTGTTTTTCTGCGATCCTGTGACAAGTGTGAAGCAACAGACTTACTTACTGGACTATATGTAGTTTTGCTGTAAATAGCACAATTAAACAATGACCGAGGGTAAACTTCTTTTTTAACAACCCATCATTGGACGAAACATCGAGAAATACTAGCTGAATAATAGTCTATTAATTCTTCCATTTTTCCATTTGCTTTTGTTTCCCTTTAGAGCATTGGGGTTAAATGTGGAGTCGTTTATTTACACTACAATCGGATCCACCGTAGATTTCACACTAAGCCATTTTCTCCTCTAGCATGTCTGTATGTACAAACCCTTACTCCGTATCGTTCTCGGCATACAGTACAACGTACTTGGGTACGCCTAACAAGACGAACGAATGGTTAACTTGACATAAAATGCCTCCATATGCCGTCAGAACGCAGCTAAAAAGGAAACGAAAAAAATATGAACCGTGGTTGAGGCTCTCCGCTGCCCCAACCGTGAGAAAACAGCCTTACCACAAACGGTCATATTGTCTTGCAGGTTCTGACTTTTCGCGTTTCTGCTTAGTAGTCGTTATCAATCAGCCGGGCCTTCATTCGCTGATCGAGTATATTAAAGGCTCACATCCTGCATGGGTTTCCCACTTTGTTAGAAACGATTACTATGCGATATGCTGGATGTAAATGCCTCAATTGTTCAAGTGCGTCGGTTATCGTAGGGCACACTACCGTAGCGTCAAGTGTCATTCGGAACGGGAGCAATATTGATACATGGCTGCATGCGTTGTGACACAGAAATTGAAGGTTAAAGTAAAAGTTCGATCACTTGATCAGCTACAGACATGCGGCTTATACGAGTAAAGTGGCAATTGCATGGTTTCGACCAAGGGCTTGCCGCATGATTCTTGTTGGTGGCACAAGTGTGTTTCGTCCACCACCATAAAAGGAATGCCGACTTAAGAACTGTCAGGAGAGAACGTAGTGGACCCACGTAGTACCACTGTGATCTTGCAAATAATAATGATATCTATGCTCTGTAGAACCATGACTAGAAATAATACGAAGGAAAAGAAATGGCGACGATAAGAAAGAGAGAGAGAGGGAGAAAAACCTGGGAACTTTTTGCGTTTGTCGGATCTACATATACTCAATACGCACAGTCAAGGTGTAGATACATCAAAGGATGTGCAGCCATGTGCGTATAAGATAATTATTTGCAGAGTATTGGACATCCTTCGACTCATCCAATGCCAGGATATGTATCAGATCACCGACTATACTCCGTAGATGAGCCGTAGAACGAATTGGACCAATATGCGACGGGAATCTGACATATGTACCAATTCTATGAAGTTCTTCAGGTTTTCCAGAACACCGCTTGTTGACAGGTTTTTTCTTCCCAATTTTCGCCCTACCAGGCCCACATCATCCCATATTCTCATACCGACATATCCAGATTCGCTTAGTATGAGTATCGCAGCCGCTACTTCCGGCTACCGCCGTTTTGTGCGTATTGTATGTACAAAAGTGGCCAACGTTGAACATTCGTTCTTGTAGGTGGACCGACTTGCCGGAATTGCGGGGCTGCAGATTGGCGTTTCCTTCGAGGATGAAAATGCTGCTTAATTAACCCTGAACCACTGCCCTTTGGTAGAAATTTACGTTCTTTGTCCCCTTCTGCCTCTAGGCAACCGAACGCAGGCAAGGATGATCTTTATGTATGTCCCTTCTGATGCCTGGCGGTCTATCATGTTCGGCTTCAAGGTGGCAAGGTGAGTGGGCGGAAGTAGTATCCTCTGCTACTGTATTTTTCGAGATCCGCAGTGGGTTGCCACAAAATTTCAGCGTTTCGATTGCGGTGTGTTTTTATGGCGCAGTGAACTAGGACTTTAGATAGAATAGAGTAATGAAAAAAAGAGTGATATTTTGCAAACGCTATATTACAGACCGGGCTACTATTGTCATACCTCCACTGCGTTTTCAGCCTAGTCTTTTGGGTCATGTTCAACGGGATGGTTCAATGATACATCAAGAAATCTGGTGTATTATCGTTTAACACGTATAGATACAGACAGACCAGAGCACATGTATTACATAAAATAAAAGGTCTACAATCCTTGAATCAACACCAAGGTAAACAGTGATATACGCCTGAGAGTACGAAATATATCTGCACCAAGTTGGATCCGTTTGTTGCACCAACATCAAAAATCCATAATCGTACTACCATCTTGGGTAACAGCAAGTATGCACATCCTGAGCGATTTGAGTATAGGTGGAATATGCATGGGACCGGGCAAGGACAACTGCAAGTAGTAGAAGTGTGTGAATGATGAGAGAAAGTAAGTAATGAATATAAGGTCTGCAGGTACACGGCAAGGAGAGGTCTATAATTATCTCGGAAAAGGCACCTCGAGCATCCGCGTAAGTAGCCAAGTCACTTTAAAATTGAGATATGCAGATATGGCTCCCATATAATGTCGGCAATAAAATATGTATCTGTTCCCAACGGATTCCCTTTGATCGATCTGTTGCGGAATCGCCACCCTCAGCTATTTCCTAAAGGAGATGAAATCGAACATATTACTAGTCGGTGAAATGATACATGGGCGGCAATGCCACTCTTTGCTACTTTAGGCAAGGACACCACTACGTCCCTAGTAATTACCCCATATTTGGAGGTTGTCCATCACAATACGAATGGCCAAGGGATTAATATAGGAAGACTACAAAGTATTCCCTCCCGATCAACTTCTACTAATGGAAGGTCGTAGACTGACAAGCTGCGCCCCTCCCCCCTTTTAAGCTCTGTCTGTGTCACAATGGCCTGATATTTCTACTAGGAGACAATTTCGAACTTAAGTTGCACTGAAATTACCTAAGTACTCTAATTGTTAACTACAGACATGGAGCCAGGTTTCTAACCTGCCATCGCTTCAAAAATTCGAGGGCTTAGGATAATCAACCCTGCTAGCAAGTGCCCCTTTTACCCCTGCAATATATGTTTCATTGTACCTATCTGACGCAGTCGCTACTCCGTAAGTCATTCAGCATTAATTAGTTAGGGCGGTATCCCTGGCTTAAGTAATTGGTTTAACTACGATGGGTTAATATTGCGATAAGGGGCTATAGTGACTGTTGTTGGGGACGACGGATTTGGATAGCGCACACTCGGAAGAATGAAGTAGGGCGATTTATCGGCAGCACACGCAATCGTGCATTTCACCCCCATCTACGAAAGGCGGCTGTCCCGTTTTCAATAGTCTACTTAGATCGTACCACGGATTAATTTCTCGACTTTTGTCGGGAGAGATGCACATGCTTTCCGAGGGTCGAGCCGATACAACGCCAGTGGAGAGTGGAAGTGATCGCCCCGAATACCAAGCAAGGACATGGCCGTTCCGGGCTGAATAATGAGTCCTAGTGCTGGGATAAGATAGCCACCATATTGCATTATAAGACCCCCAGTTACATAGGTAATGCATTTTGATGTGGGGGAAATGAACTTAACCTGCTTCCAGCCACCTCAGCCACTGCCCATTTACGAAGGGAGGCGTGTACGTATATGGAGAGTGGATATTATAGTCTTTGTCCGAACTATGGCGATGGCCTACAAACTAAGCCCGGAGATCATATCCGGTCCAGAATATGAAAGCTTCCCGAGGAGAGTACGGAGTACGTAGAGTCATAGGACGGCTACTTTATATCCAAAATAGGTATAGATACAGTTAGAATCGGATAAGACGGGCATTTGATAATGGATCCCTCCTAGCCAGTCAATTGCGCCCCTTGCTTTGTTTGCACCGTATCACAGTGTCTGTGTATAAAATTGCATCCATAGCCAAATCTCACGAGTCTTCTTGGAGCTAGCGATGAAAGAAGGGGTAGCACAACGCCGTTAATTGGAGAAATATTTGCCATTGACTGGATGATAGGCGTCGAGAATTAGAACTTTGACAAGACCTTTCTGAACAGGGTATTTCCGGATATGTTGCATGGTAGCAGATAAACTGCGTGGCGCCAATGGCACCACGCATATAGCTTCCGCTGAATACTTGTAGCCGTGCTGTCTGTGATCGTGAGGATCCGATAATGATGGTGTCGTGACAGCATGTCTCCCCGGACTATTGATAGCTAAGCCATGTGTCCCGTAGAAAAGTGCCAACTCCCTACAAGTTGTACAAATGCGCAGGAAGCAAAACAATGGTTTTTGATGAGATCGTCCACACGTCACGATAGCAAGGGTAGCCCCTCCTTTCTATTGGGTTTCCGTTCACGATAGAACATCAATGACGAGATAAACATGTGTTGAAGAACTGTACGTCAATAATGTGAATAATGGATGAAAGAAGCCCTGCCAATCACTAAAGAGAATCCTGTGTAGCGGATTCATGTCGTTAAATTAGGTTCAAAGGTCGAGATCAACCGAATATCGCGTCGCTTCAGCGTGTCGTGTTCATACATAGTTCGGAAGAAAAAGTTTGACATATGATTCTCTCCACGGTAAATCATGGTTGAGACTCCGGGTGTGTCAAAAACTCTAGTCGACTGGTCGAGGGGATGTACATACATAAGCTCGGGCGAGGGGCGTAGATGGCATTGACGGGTCGTGAATGGCTGCAGGAGACACGCGATGGAGTGGGCAAGAAGTCAGGGTGGTTTTGGCGCTGAGCCAGTCAGCAGTCTATGACGGCGAGACGCGACCGCTTCCATGTATGTATGTATGTATGTATGTGTACGTAGTATCATACCTCTACCGAAGTGCGTCGTAAAAAGCGAACCACTCATTGATGGTTATTTACAGACCGTCAGCAGCTGAAAACTAAAGTCGGTTACTCCGCAATATGTGGGTAGTCATCAAATAGCATTACGATTCTTGAATTTACTAGGAAGAGGCTAGTCTAGGGTTATCCAAAATATCAAATGGGAAAAGTGACTTCATCATACGCTCAATAGCCGGTAATATATGACATGGATCTATCCATCAGTATACTGTACCTATCTACACACATACTCCATAATCTAGTGTGGAATTTCATAGCGATATCAATTCCTTACAAAGGGAAGAGGCGTAAAAATAACTATTCGTGATTTTCTGCTGCAGACCGCAATGTGCAATGGAAGTACCATGAAATTCTGGCTTACCTACAGTAGTGTAGTTTACAGAGACGCAGCTTACACATTAGGGCCCAAAGATGCAGGTCTAATAGAAATGGGAAGGGTGAAAAAAAATAAAAAAAAAAGGAAAGAAAAGAAAATCAAAAAGAAAGAAAAGGTGGTCGCTGAGCCAAGGACCCGAGGTGTTCCTGGCTTGAATAAGGGAGTCAATGGCTGGTGAGGACTGGTTGGTGACGACGGAGATCACCCCACCGAGAAGCCCACCGAAGGAGCGCTGGTGCAGTTTAGAGAGTTTAGATGCAGCCTTCAAGAGCGAAAAATAACAGAAAAAAAAAAAAAAAGAATTGAAATAGTAATAAATTCAAATAAGAAAATAATAACTATGTCCTGTATAGATGAACAAAGACCTGTTATTGAATGTATATTAGAATATATTAAAGGGAATACGACCGTCAGCAAGCATTGTAACGTAGGATATGTATTTCCCTGGCTTGATCTAGGGCTCAATGGATCCTGAGAGTCGATGATTGTTATACATTGATACGAAAAATCTGGCTCCCCGAAAGGAAGAACGACACAGAAAGCCGGAGATAATTAGTAGAAGGTAGTAAGT